TGGCAACGTCCTTTGCAATGTCTGGAAGACATGGGCGTGGCGCACCGCGCTCAACGAGCTTTCGGACGACGAGTGGACCGAGTTCTTGTCGACGGACGACGCCGACGCAATGGGCTGGGTCACGCCGAAGCACTGTCGGCACCAGTACGACAGCATCAAGCTCGTCGACGTGCTCTTCAGCCCGAGCATCCGCGTCTTTGAGCCGCTCTGGACGCTCATTCCAAGCTCGAAAGCGATTTTGCCCGTTCTCAACACGCTCTACCCGCACCACCCGCTGCTACTAACGTCGTCGTTTGCGCTCACGCCAGCGCTGCAGGCCGCGGGCTACGTCATCAAGCCCGTGGCGGGCCGCGCGGGTGCCAACATCTCGATCGTCGATGTCCATGGCAGTGTTGTATCGCAGTCGGACGGCCGCTGGAGCAACGATACGCCCGTGTACCAAGAGCTGGCGCTGCTCCCAAAGCACAACGGCAAGTACGTGCAACTCGGCACGTGGGCGATTGGCGGCGAGTATGGCGGCACGATTATCCGTGCCGACGCCAACAAGATCATGGGTCTCGAGTCGTTCGCCTACGCGATGCGCGTCATCGAGTAGATTGCCTAGTGCGACTGCATAACAAGGCAATATATGCCGTGCGTTGTGGAAATCCTCCAGTCGATCGATCGAGAAATGTCCGAACTCGTGGAGGACGCACACTTTGTCGGGTTTTTTGCAGCTACCCGTGCGCGTGTTGGAACACCTGGTGACTGCACAAACTCATTTTGTAGCGATGCAGAAGCCGCTGCGTTGCGCAAACGTCGCATGGAGCGAATTCATTATATTACACGATGCAACCATGTTGGAAAAGCTAACGATATTAGGTGTGGCTAGCAACACTGGTATACATTTTAGTCAAATGTACGCGCTGTGTACGGCGTCCATGGCGCGAATCCGCGTCTTCGAGCCATTGAAGCAGAGCGCGTCGACAAAAGTGCTGCAGTCGAACGCCAAGTCTACTTAAATACCTGGTGAGAGACGAGCCCATTTATGACCTTGTAGTCCAGTGCTAGTCCATGACTATCCCGATACCCCTAATATCCCACAACTGAAGTCACGTCGCAGAAAAACATGTAGACAGACACCTTCCCATCGCAACATTCACGCGGTCGTCAAGCATTTGGAGGTTTGTCGCTCCGACTACAAGGCATTGTAACTATACTACGACGCTCTCGTCGCCGTCACCAACGCTCTGATTAGACGTGTCCGTGGCTGGTGGCTCCTCGTGCTACTAGCATTTGGGGTCCGTTACGGTACAGTTGTGGAGACAGATTCAATATCAGCTCTAAAAGAGACCTACAGGTCACCACAAGCTGTCGACCTTTGCCGCCGCATTGCGTTCACAAGCTTGTTTCTGGGTATGTACAGTATATTGCCTTGTCATGCAGTCGCGCTAGGCAATCTACTCGATGACGCGCATCGCGTAGACGAACGACTCGAGACCCATGATCTTGTTGGCGTCGGCACGGATAATCGTGCCGCCATACTCGCCGCCAATCGCCCACGTGCCGAGTTGCACGTACTTGCCGTTGTGCTTTGGGAGCAGCGCCAGCTCTTGGTACACGGGCGTATCGTTGCTCCAGCGGCCGTCCGACTGCGATACAACACTGCCATGGACATCGACGATCGAGATGTTGGCACCCGCGCGGCCCGCCACGGGCTTGATGACGTAGCCCGCGGCCTGCAGCGCTGGCGTGAGCGCAAACGACGACG